TTCTTTTAACATTTTATTTATAAGTTTAGCAGAACTTTTTCTTATTATTTTAAAAAGTGAAAAGTATATTTTTGGCCACTTATACGCTTCTCATGGCCTTTTATATGACACTGATAATGTGATACGTTTCAATCCGCTCTTCAATTTAGCGCTTTCGAATCCGCGCTGACGAAAACTTGATTCCGCAACTAAAATTTGCCTCGCCAGAAATATTCGAGAAATGCGATTGGCGCAGGTCGGGTTACGAAGCGCCACGGGAAGAATGTGCAATTGCAGTAGGTCAAAAAGTGACCCGAATCGGCCGGTCCAATGCATCGGCGCAAGCTTGACGATCGCCGGACCGCGCCGTCCAAACTTCGTCAGCCGGTCAGATTTTTTTACACGCTACAGAAGTAGAGCATGCGGGATAAAAACCGGACATGTAGCCACCGGAACTGTAGGATTTATCGCGAACCAGTCTGCGCGCACACGCACAGTCCGTACTCGAGAGCTGTGTAAGCACAGAATTTTTCGCGATTGAGCTGTCTGCATAGCTTTCAAAGTTTTCTACAGCAATTTCTATAATACTCTTTCCGCCATTTTTTTCTTCTTTTTCTTTGTAATGACTTTTGCGAATTGAGTAGTCGACACGTGTATCTATGTTGCATTCGACAGCTGCCATTCTCAGATAGAGCGTTTTGTAGTTTCCATCACTGCGAAATATTACACCGCGCAAAATGCAGCGTAGATTGCAAAATTTGAGAGCACAACATTTTTCTCAAATAATAAGTTGGAACTTAATATTGATAAAAATAAGTTCTTTCTTTACCTTTACAATATATTAATGTAATACAATATTTTAGAGGTAATGTGTATAGCTTCTATAATTTATCATCGATAACTATTTGATTATAATGAATTATCCAATCAATTTTTGACAGCCCATTAAAAAGTAAATTAATTTTCATAATCATCTATGAATAATTAATTAACAACTTAAAGTAACATTACATCCCTATATTATCCAAACTTAATTAAAATTGATGACCAACATAAAATAATTAGAGAAACAAATCTTCAAGATCTATTTTGGTACAACTCTACTAATAGAAGATTCATATCTTGAATGCAAATGTGATCGTTCCGAATTTCGAAATGTGTGCTAATATTGTTTAAACCTCGTACGTTAGTCCGATGAACTTTTTTTCATTGCAATTTACGTAGAGAAATGAACAGACAAAAAGAACGTAAAAGAGAAAAACGAAAAGATTGGCGATTGATCACGAAATTCGTTTTACTGTAAACCGGCGAACTGCGAAATAGCTGAAATTTCCTTGATCCAAATTGGCTCACAAGCTCTGTCTTTTTTTTCTCGCTCTTAGCCATTTTTCTTTCATCTTTGGAGTTATGTGTTAAGCGGATATTGCAGTGCGATGTGTGATCGATTTAAGTACAAAGTAAACTCATCGTCGTGGTACTGTAAATGTGAATAAAATCCTTCAGTTTCAAACTTTTTCAATTAAAGCATTCCTTACTGACGACAGAAATATTTAATCTGACTTTCTGATGAGAAACCTGTAGAGTTTTTTAAGTTTTAAATTAAGCTCTTTTTAACGAACGTTTCAAATTTTTGTTAAAACTGTTACAACTGATTTCAGACTGTTCAAATGATATCACGCATCAAAATACATTTGACGCAATTAAGGTTACACTCTACACGTTATATGCGTTGCATTAAGTATTCAGACAGTATGAAACGTTAATGAAATGTCTTTAGCTCAATTTGACGGACGTTTTGTCCTCACTGTGAACTATAAATATACTTTAATTTTCTAATGGAAATTCTTTTTCAACTGCGTTTTCGTCCGATAGCACGATAGACATTTCTTTTCGTATTTATGTATTTTCTCAGCCAATTAATATTCTACGAAATGGCAGACGTTGGAACCAAGAATAATTTTTATATATCTTTTATCTATCGTAGAATGTGACCTCTCGGAGATATTCGTATACTAAAACATCCCTTTCGACATATTAAGACTTTTCAGTCGACTTCTCTCATCCTTGATCTCCCTGTCATATCTAGTAGACGTGTACTCATACGTGAAATTCATTTTATATGTATTATATGTACGGCTATCATGCGACAGTGTTAGGCACGATTGGTACGTTCGGCTGATATCATGGCAGTGTGTGAAATGATGGCAGTTGATAAGGATGATATAGAGCTCAGAGCGTTTCCGGTGATAAGAGAGGATCGGCGATGCTGCGACTCGTATCAGGATTCCTCGTCACGAAACGATTAATCCTTACAACGATGCCCTATAAAGTAATCCTATCGAGTAATTAGATCTCAGGAAATCTGACGAGATCGGCATTATATCCAGCTAGCGGCCTACGATTAACGAAGTTATTTACATGGCTCAAGTATTTTTGAGTCAGTCCAAAATGTCGGATAAAAAACAAAAAGTTGAATAACGTTATTCGATGAAGCGGAAGAATCCACTTGCAATTCAGCTTTACATTAAAGAAATAAATATTATTTCCGAAAAACTACAAAAATTAAGCATTGAATTTCGATATTTTTATTATAAATTGTATCACTTTACCTTTTGTAATTTTACATTTTTTAAATATTAGAAAACAGTAATATTTTATATTATGTTTTAATAATACTTTGAGATATAACATTGAGTTATAATTATAGAATTTTAAACTATCGTTTTTATTGATTAAAGTAACAGACTTTTAAATAATATATTCTCTTTCAAAACGTAAAACGAGCAATTCTCATCGAAAATTTACATTTTACTTTCGATTTTATAAATTGATAATCAAAAATTTTATTACCTTTAACTTTGTATTTCGAATAAATTGTGCTTCCAGAATTTCGATATTTCGATGGGAGTTTGATTTAAATAACAAAACTAAATATAAAAATAACAGGATTGTAACTAATTCAATTTATATAATGTGAGACCTTAACATTCCCTCGAGATACGATATATTATATCTAGTGGCAGTAATAAGTTCGACAGAATTTCTCTTCTTGCGGTCTTAAAATCGATTCATAGAATCGTAAAAATTTGTATCTGATACGTCGTTACATTTCGATAGTTATTTTCGGCAGACAAGTTTAACGAATCCATTACCCAACGTTCTGCAGTTAATGGACGAGTGGAAGTACCGATCGTGCCTAATAATATTAGCGGGATATATTTGTATCGAGAATCTCCGTTCCTTGCACGTTGCTCGCAACCTTATCTCACATATCAGAAAAGATTTACGAATTACGGCGACTCAAGATGGCTATATTTTCGAATTCGCCACTTCGTAAATCTTCAATCGATCTCGTTAGTATCTCCACCGTCCTGGCAAAATATTTAATAAGATAACAAGAAGGAACGCCATATTTACATATAAAAATATATCTTATCGTGATTGATCGATGGATCTATGTATAATATACATGTACATATTATATGAATATAGATAAAACTTCTCTTAACGTACGCCGCGATTCGTTTGATACGTTTCCACACATCACATTTTTCTTAGTAATCCGATGTAATTACGGTAAGTAATGTAATACCACCAGAAGTGGAATGGTCCAATTTGGAGAATGTCCAATATCATTCGCTCCTTGACTTTGCAACATACTTTTAAATTGCAGTCTTTTCAGCAAACCGTGGAATTTATGATAACGTTATCATCTCTAGAAAATTTAACAGCAAACTATAAGTATTTAGTTAATTTTCTGTATGTATAGTGCGAAATTATAGAAAACTCTTTTTTAATAATTAAATTAATTATTTTTGTCATATAATTGCAGTTAATGAAAAGATTTTATGGTAAATATATCGATGAAGGG